GTTTTCTTGTAAACCACCCCCAAGAAAATCGACTCGATTTGCTATGTATATACATGTATATTGTTTATTTAACATAGAAAAGAAAATTCTTTGATGAACCTAAGAGTTGAAAACAGCTTAGACTACCATTTTTAGTGTGTAAAGATTCAATAATGCTGAGCCCATCCTGTTTAAAATTTAGTAGGCCTGAGCCCACCCTAGTCTAAATTCCTGGCGCCGCCGCTATTACATAGCTGTCACTTTAAGACATTAGAAGTCAGTATAATGAGTAGCTCTCTTCCATGGAATAAAACAAAAAGAGATTTAGTTGATTCAATGCAAGGCATAATTCACACACGAATTTTATTTAGACAAGACCACACTTTAGTACGAATTCAACCATTCATGATAGTAATTAGCACGTGTGTGTGTGGGTATGTGTGAGTTTTCGGGTAGTGATAGCATTATCAAGATAAGATCTACCTTCACACTGTCACATCAGTATCCTGGCCTCTGAAGATATATGAATATAGAGTGGTGTGTTTATCTCGATATTGATATATCTATAGAGTTCAGGATATCGAAACAAATTGGTACCGGTGTATGTGTGTAAACTGTGGGTCCAGACGTGCTTGCGACTGTCGAATAGAGTGTGGGAAGGTGTATGTATGACCGTTACTATTGTTCTTGCCACGATGCTCAATTTCACCCACACCCACACACAAATCTCTGAAAAATACGCTAGTCTAGTTATATAGTGGTGGTTTTTTAATTTAAAATCAAAATTGAATCACCTTAAGTTGATGGTTTTTGTCTTACATCTTGAAGTTAAACGGAATGCAGTTTGAGATGATTCGTATGTTTCGAAGATAATTACAATCTTCTGTGGTCTTTTCCACCAGAGAATCAACATATGAATTCAAATTATCAAGACTTTATTCTACCATTAGATATCCTTTTAGTCTCAAACTTGTTCGTTTCCAAACTTATCGCGAGAATTCCTGCTCAAAAATAAAACTAGCTAATAACAGCTAAGTATTTCTTTGAAGAAACACTTTTCAACAAGAAAAGTAGAAAACCATACTTTTATTAGTTTTTCTTTTGCTTATATGTTTTTAAAACAAATTAAAGTAAAATATTTTAGTGACATACAATAGAATCAGAATTCATTTAAATACTTCCTTTTGTGTTTCTATATGAAATATGTAACTCATTCATGGTTTGATATACTAGTTCATTATCTTTGAAGCTATCAACACAAGCTCAGGCAATGCTATATATTTCATCATTCACAGTTGCCCATGAATGTTGATTTGTATAATCAAAAAGACTATCTTGTAATGTATGATAGATATTTCAATATAAAGTTGGTTTGACCTCATCGGATATGCTAGAGAAGAGTTTATCTGTTAACAAACATATTTGCAGATGAAGTTGTTGAATCATCTGTGCTATCACCCCCAGCGAATACTATACTGCCGAGTGCAGGTGCTAATACAAAAGTAATGTTTCATGAAAGTTAAAACATAATGAGATGCTTTCACAAATGGTTGATGTTTATGATTAGAAATATTTGACACAGAGAATGGAGTTATAAAGTTGTATGCTCTCTAGAAATTTCAATGAATCTTTCAAAAATGAACGAAAAGTATATTTCTTTTCTAAATTTATATTTTCAAAAAGCAATTGCTCAAAAAATATCTTCTGCTATATATTGTATTTTATGCATTCGTTTTGTTTCATAGCTTCAAGTGTCAATAAACCAAAACTTAATGAATGCGCATCGTGGAGCTCAAATCCAATCATAATTGCAAACAGTACTACTACAGATATGAGTCCTTTTAGCTTATTCATTGGCATTAATGACACTCTTTATGTAGCTGATCAAACAATGAAAACTATTTACATATATCCTGAAAAAAGTGGAGACTCAACAAAAACTATTGTCAGTAATTTTACCTTTTCAACTGGTTTCTTTGTTACAATTACTGGTGATATATATATCGATAATGGAAATAATAGTCATATTAGCAAATGGTCCTTCGATACAATCTCTAATAACATTATCATGTATATGAATAGTGAATGTATTAGTCTTTTTATTCATATTGATAATACACTTTATTGTTCTATTCAAAATGGCCATCAAGTAGTTAAAATGTCACTTAATAGTAATGATAGTACATTTATGACTGTCGCAGGTACAGGTTGTGCTGGTTCAACATCAGATATGCTTGATCAACCTTTTGGAATATATGTCAATATCAATTTTGATTTGTATGTGGCAGATACTGGAAATAATAGAGTTCAATTATTTTATGATGGAGAAATGAATGGTAGAACAGTAGCTGGAGAAACATTAGGAAAACGTTTTGCTCTTAATAAACCAACAAGTGTTATTCTCGATGCTGATGATAATTTATTTATTGTGGATAGTGGTAATCAACGTATCATTCGATTAGGATCTGATGGATTTCGAT